GGTTATCCTCTGAAGTGATCACAACAGAATTTTCTAATGCACACAAGGGATTTCGCATCACGAGACCACTAGAATAAGAAGCGTAGAGCACTATTTCCCCTTCTGTGGTTTTTCACTTACGACTAACTAATATGCTATAGTTTTTCCAGGTTGCACTTCTTGCTTTGAAACTACCAGTCGAATAAATGCAGTGAGATCATGATTCCCTGATTACTTTGGAGGCTATTCATCCTTCTGATCAGTATGATGAATAACAATGGATCAGTTGACATTGGTGTGCAAGGTAACATCGCGTCTCACGAGTTCACGCTGTGCTTTAGTCTTCCATAGGAGTTTGAACTGATCATCCCTTATGACCATCATCCCCATCAATCCCGTTTATGCATATTTCAGTGTGTTAAATACCTGGAGAAAGATCTTTCTTTGTCAGGCTATGCTCTGTTTTGCTTGATAATGCTGACACTGTTCCATGACCTCACTATTGTACACAATCCTCGGTTCATCATCCTACTTCACCATCATACTCATCCTAACTACCCAGCATTGTTTTGCTCTTTATTAGTCGACTACAGCGCTGCAGCTTCCGTGGCAGATCTGATTTCACGATGGCCCCAGGCACGTATGGTAACTCTGTATAGAAACTTTAGGCCGGCTTCTTTCAGCCAATCACAGGGAGGAGCCCACGTACCCACACCAGCCCGCCGTTCTATCGGTGGAAGTTTGGGGCTGAATATCGTCGGTGGCGACGGATCGGATGCAACTTTTGTCTCTCAGGTGCAACCTGACAAGCCAGCCGGACTTTCAAAACGCGTTTTTGTAGGAGATAGAGTTTTAGCGGTAAGCGTCTTATTCTATGAGTTTGCTTTTCTTCAACACCAAGACAAAGACAGTTGCTGCGATATTTTTTTCTGAAAAATGTCATTTTTCTAATACCTATTTCATTTTGCTTATATTCGTTTGGAAATCAGTTAGGCACGAATCGGTAGAAAGTAATTAACAAGCTCGAAAGACCTGATTCTACACCGAGTACATCCAAGCATATGACGGGCAGTTCGTAATTTGGTAATTGTGAGCATTAGAAGCTTTGAAAAGAGGGAAAAGGTTTCGGGAAAAGTTTCGAATAAGTTGATTAGTGGTATCGAAATGTTGGATCACACGCACGCAGCAAGTCTTTACCGGGAATTCACTTATTTCACAATTTGTTGGAACGGCCGATGCTTCCACGAAGAAAAGAAAGTCGGCTAAATTTCTGCACGTATTGATTCCGGTGTAACGGTGCTACTACTGATGAAGAGGCACGCGAGTAGTGTGTGTTGTTCGTAGAATTTCGCTTTGCGGCTATTGAAAAAAGGAGATCTGTTGCGGAATTCGTGGAGCCACTTTGTAACATTTGCTTGGATTTGACCGACGAATGAGTGGAGTCAATGAATCTCCAAGACAATTCAAGGAGACTCGTTCGGGAGAAGATCTGTGTCCAGTTTTTGTAACTAAGATGCAGATTAGAGTTTTGCTTCCCTGTTCAATGGTCTGTAACCGGTCAGTTGGCGTTTCCGAATAAATAACTCCGCAGCGAAGGCCTTCCTTTCATTTGGTGCCGTGACCAGGATAAGGATGAAGATTCCGTGGCCGCAACCCTTTGAAGATGGCGATGTTCGGACCTTCCTGGAGGACTTTGAGGTGGTTGCGGAGGCTGCCGGGCTGGAGACCGATCAGGGTAAGTTGGCAGCCCTGAAGATCCTCCTCAGGGGCCGGGCGAGGGCGGCCCTGGGTGCGGCCAGAAGGGGCCCTCAGAAGACGGACTGGGCCGCCGCGAAGGAAGTCCTTGCAGCGGAGTTCGACACGCCGGCCGACCGCCAGGAGACTATGAGGCGGTTCAAGACGGCCAGGATGGCACCCGGATCTGACCCGACCGTGTTCTTCGCCGGCCTGCAGCAGTTGTTGGATCGCGCGTTGCCGGCGCTGGACGGAGTGTCGCAACACTAGTTGCTGTATGATCAGTTCGTCGAAGGTGTGCAGCCCGCGCTTGGTGCCCAGTTGCGGTTGGCACGAGCAACTGGCCAGTTGAGTGTGGAGGAGCTGGTGCGTCTGGCCCGGGAGCTGCCCGAGGCACCACTGGCCACGTTGCAGTCGCAGGAGAAGAGGGGTGCTGCATCAGTGGAGGGACTGTAGACCGGGGTAGACCAACTCACCGAACAGCTGGCTGCCGTGAAGACGGAATTGCCGAGGCACGCTCGAACCAGCCGGTGCTACATGTGTGGCAAGCCTGGCCACTGGAAGATCACTTGTACACAATAAAACTTTAGAGTACTCCTCTTTTCTTGGGTGGGTCGCGATTAGCGCACTGACAAAAGCTACCATACAAGCCATTGTCGAGGTAGATTGGAAAAAGGAGTTATGTTTGATTGATACAGGAGTAGGCGTATCGCTGATGCAAAGAGGGAACCAAGCTGAACACAGACCATGCGCTCTAGCCGTAAGAGCTGTTGGTGGATATCGATTGAAGATTGATGGATTGTCAACGCACTCGATACGCCTAGGCGACAAGTCCGTGCAGCACGCGTTCCTGATCAGCCCAGACGTAGAGCAGACAATATTGGTAGCTGATTTTCTCCAGGGCACATATTCCGTGATTGACCTAAAGCAGGGAAGGCTGGTGACAAAGTATGGCGCAATCAAGCTTGAAGGTTATCCAGGCACTGTCGTGAGGGAGCTGTGTGTCCGAAAACTTCCGTCTTGTAATGTATCGTCAATACGGGCCGTGGTTGAGGAATATTCCGAACTGTTTACGGGCGATGAGGATCCGTTTGGCTTCTGCCCGTGGATTGAACACGAAATTCCTCTGTCATCAGAACGCTTTCGACCTTATGGCCCCCGTCCGTTGCCGCTCCATCTACGGGAGGAGGTCCATAGACAGATTCAGGAGATGTTGAAGAACGGTATAATCGAAGAAGCCAACAGTGCGTACAATTCCCCAGTTGTGCTTGTAAGGAAGACGAACGGAAAATACAGGTTTTGCGTGGATTTCCGGCGCTTGAATGAACTGACCGTAAATCGGGTTGTGGCTGTGCCTTCGGTTGCAGAGATTTTCGATTCCCTCCAGCACTCCCGATACTTTACTGTGTTCGACTTGCGTTCCGGATATTGGCAACTACCTATCAAGGAGGAGGACCGGGAGAAAACGGCGTTTACGGTTGGGGACACCCAATATCAATTTAGACGAATGCCGTTTGGTTTGTCCGGGGCACCATTCACATTCCGGCGCTTGATGCTTCGTGTAACCAAGGGACTCCAGAATGTTGCCGTGTACGGAGACGATATCGTTGTGTACAGCAATTCGGAACCAGAGCACGTAGTTCACTTGAAGGCTGTGTTGGAGCGGATCCGGGAGGCTGGCCTGCGGATAAATGAAGCCAAGACACAGCTCGCTCGGAGTTCGGTGACACTGCTGGGGCATAAAGTGGGTCAGGGAGAAGTTAGCCCACTGCCCGAAAAATTGGCAAAGATCAGGGATTGTGCTGTTCCCAATTCAAAGCGGTCTCTACGGCAGTTTCTTGGACGAGCAGCATACTACAGCCGGTTCGTTAAGGATTTCAACAAGATCGCTGCGCCACTGTACGATTTGCTCGGTCAAAATCGGAAATTCGAATGGACCGGAGAAGCACATGAAGCTTTTGAGCGTGTCAAAGCGCGGATGTCGGATCAGCAACTGACCCTCAAACTTCCCAGGGTCGGAGAGATGTTCATTGTTGCAACGGACGCCAGTGATCGCGGTATCGGCGCAGTCCTAAAGCAGAGGGATGGAGTTATCGAATATGCCAGTCGCGTCCTGACTAACGCTGAACAGAAGTACTCCACCATTGAGAAGGAATGTTTAGCGATCGTCTGGGCCCTGGATAAGTGGAGACCATATCTGCTTGGGCAAAGGTTTCATGTCGAAACCGATCACAAACCCCTGGAGTGGATCAGGACCACCAGAGATCCTCGCGGGAAGCTCGCACGCTGGGCACTCCGGTTGCAAGAGTACGACTTCACAATCCAGCACGTGCCAGGGAAGGAGAACCACTTGGCTGATTGGCTGTCAAGGCCAGAGGCTGAAGATGAGGTCCCCAAGATCATGATTGGAGCCAATGGCCTCGTCGTCGAACTGGATCCCGGAAAGTTGGTGCAACTCCAACGGCAGGATCCGGTGTTACAAAAGGTTGCAGCCGCCTTGTTGGATGGAAGGAACATTGAGAACGGAGAGGGAGACAAGGAATTAGAAGCGTTCCAGAGTCACTTTGATCGGCTGAGGCTGAATGAAGCTGGCATAATTTCCTGGAACGCCACTGATTCAGATGTTGTGCTGCCCGTGATACCTCGCGTCTTGAGACGGAATCTCATCGTTGAATGCCATGAGATGGCACATACAGGGTGCACCAAGACATACGACCTACTTCGGCAGAGGGCCTACTGGCCCGGGATGAGAAGTGAGGTGATGGATTATGTGGTGTCCTGTAAGCGTTGTCAACTAATGAAAGCGGATACGACAGGGGCAACCCATCCCATGGAACCCATTCCTGTCTCAGAAATCGGCGAGTTGTGGTCAGTTGACGTCATGGGCCCCTTTCCGGTGACAACCAGTGGGAACCAATACATCGTGATGATGACAGAACACCTGTCGCGATGGATTGAGGCGGCAGCCGTGCCGAATCAGCGGGCGACGACGATCAGCGGAGTGGTAATGCATCACATTGTGGCCAACCATGGGGTGCCAAAAATGATCCTAACCGATCAGGGGCCTTGCTTCGAGAGCGAAGAGTTTCGTAATTGCTTGCAGAAGCTGGGTATCAGACGGCTAAGGACGGCACCATACCACCCGCAAACAAATGGCCTGACCGAACGTAACAACCGAACGATCAAGGAGTGGCTTGCGGCCAAAGGAGGTGACTGGGAAATGAACTTGCCAATGGTGTTGTTAGCTCATCGTGCTTCCACGCAGTCAACCACAGGCAAGTCCCCGTTTATGTTAATGTACGGTCGACATCCGCGCCTTCCGGTTGATCAGGAAATTGGGTTGTGGCCGGCAACACGCTTGTCTCCGGAGGAGCTAGAGGAAGAAAGAAAGAGAGCTCGAGAAAATTTGACCGCCGTTCAGGAAAGGGCTAGGCAGAAAACGGCAAGTAGAAAGGTCCGAACGTTCCCCATAGGCACGAAGGTCAAGTGGAAGGATCACCAGAATCCTGGAAGGAGTGGACTGGGGTCGCGGAAGCTGGGCAGTCGATGGCAAGGACCGTTTGTAGTCACCGACCGCCGGGGGAACGTCTATACCATTCAAGATGGTCGGGGATCGAAAGTAGTGAATGGGACGCAGCTTCGCAAGTGGCATGATACACCTGAAGAGCGGCCGAGTAGACCCGCTGCCGAAGCCGACCTGACGGAGGTAAATGAAAATCGATGGCATGCGAACGAGCTTTAAGGGGTGGAGGTGTGTAACGGTGATACTACTGATCGGGAGGCACGCGAGTAGTATGTGTTGTTCGTAGAATTTCGCTTTGCGTCGTCTGAAAAAGGGAATTCTGTTGTGGAATTCGTGGGGCCACTTTGTAACATTTGCTTGGATTTGGCCGATGAATGAGTGGAGGCAACGAATCTCTTGGAAGACTCGTTCGGGAGAAGATCTGTGTCCAGTTTTTGTAACTAAGATGCAGATTAGAGTTTTGCTTCCCTGTTCAATGGTCTGTAACCGGTCAGTTGGCGTTTCCGAATAAATAACTCCGCAGCGAAGGCCTGCCTCTCACCGGTAGTACGTATAGTTTAGTTCAATGAAGGTCACCAATAAATGCAATGATTGCAGGTTTCGCAAAGTTCATTCGAATGGGAGATGCGCCATTTGACCATATAATTCCGAATAAATAACTCCGCAGCGAAGGCCTGCCTCTCACCGGTAGTACGAAGTTTATAGTTCAATGAAGGTCACCAATAAATGCAATGATTGCAGGTTTCGCAAAGTTCATTCGAATGGGAGATGCGCCATTTGACTAAAACATATAATTCGCGGTTGTTCCGAAATCGGACATTGGCATTCTGAAGCTGGTAACCTTTGAGTTTATTTTCAAGGCCCTACCTGAGAGGTCTTCATCACCGCGAGCCGAATTTTAGTACAGATATCGTTAAAACCAGAAGACCGGGGGATAAAATTATTGTAGAAACGTTCGGCACGAAATACCTGCAACGTGTCTGAGAAATTTCGTTTGTGTGGACTGTGCCCTACAGTAATGTAACTTACGAGATGGTGTCAATACAACTACCGACCTAATTTTCACCGCAGCACATTCTGATACCCGATCCGAGGGTATCAGAACAAGCAGTTAACAAGTTTATCCACTTTGGGGTATCATGACATTTCTCACCCCGCTCACAATACGATATTTCGTTGTTTTGTGAACCAAAGATGACAAAATTATCCGATTAAAGTCACTTGAAAGAGCATAGGTCATAATTTGTTTGTTGGCCACTTTGGTCATTTCTGCGATAATTGAGTACGCGCTAGTGCACCATGAGTAGCAATTTCGACTTTTCCCATACACTATGAGATGTTTCAAAGGATGTTCTTATCCAGACACCAATCAGGCATCCAAATGAATTTATTTTTTTATATATCTGAAATGAGGGAAGTTTGTGAGAACGAAGTGAAGACTAGGCATAGTTATTCTTCGAAAAGAAACAAAGCAGGATAGTTGACTAGCCGGTGCCCGCTGCGCTTCCAGCGTGACAATGTACAAAACCTTCAGTACTACTCGTGAGGTTGATGATAATCTAGACAACTAACTATCGGTTTTGCCATTCTTTGGGTTCATCCAGTGGACCTAGACCCAAACTTCCCCTCAAGCTAATTTTGCACCTGAACAACAAATCTTATGCATGTTACAATAAGTACTCGTTTTGTATTGACTAATTGTTAATAAAATACTCAGCTGCAATTGACCGGAATCTGTCACTTGTGATACTCCTCAACCTTATGAATAGTACTTATATAAACTTTGATATCTTAAATATTGTTCTAACTAAAGCTAATTCAGTTGAAGAATATCGTAAAAGAAAGATCTGGATGCATTTTAGCTGAGCCTTTTGTCAACATCAACCCAGTTAGCAAGTGGGCAACGTTCGCATTTTATGAACTCACACAAATTTTTCTTCGAATGCAAATTCTCAACTGCTTCTGTGGTCTGCGGTGCATATTTTGTGTGTCATTTCAAAACGCTCACAGAGTTTAATTATAAATTAGTTTCATTCAGTCGAGACAACTGGCAGAACATTCTATCTTTCAGGGCAAAGAAGAGTCGGCAAACAATTCCATAGTTCACATTTTCTTACATTTAAGAACAACCTCGATACAAACGAATCAGTACGCGTATGTTTTGAATGAGTTTCTCTCCGATCAAACTAGATATACATTCCAGCCTAGAGGAACGTCGAAGATCCAATGGCCAACTGGTTTTCCCGTAGAAATTAACGGAATGATTGCGCTCTCTAACCTAATATATGTGAAGCATTGCGTTATATACCGTGTACAGTGGACCATTTCCATATGTCGAGCATGAAAACAATTCACAGGTTTTAAAACGAATGTTATGTCCGTTCAACAATTTCAACTCTAAGCTCCACTGGCCTATTCTTTTGATCTCCGCTTTCATTTAACTCTATAGTGTTCCACTTCCACTGATCATTTGTGTTTTGAACCATAGGTAAATGGCATTGATGTGTCGGAGAATGGTCATGAGCAAGCCGCAACTGCATTGCGCAACGCACCGGATCGCGTCGATCTCGTCCTGGTCTACTGTCCAGAAGGTAAGTGAAATGTTCTTCCCAAAAAGATGTTCAACAGGAAAATTACAGAGCAATATATCACACTTTTTAGCAATTTCGTCTCTTCGATGTCGCTCTCATTAAGAGCTGCGGATGATACACCATACTTCTCTGTCAGGCCACATTTGGCTGGCGCTTTACAAAAATCCTCTAGCTAGATAATGACTCCACAAATGAAGCAAACTACTGAGCTTTCGTAGCTTTTTAGCCTTTTGCCTGGTCATACGGGCAAACTTGAACCGACAAGACGTTATAATCTGTAAATCACTTCGCCATAAATTATTCTGCCATGAATCTGTGGTGACCAGTACTTTTCTAATGCTCTCATGGGTCTATGATTAACTTTGTTCCCTTCTACAGTCCTATTTCAAGCAAATTACCAAAAACAGTCCGTCACAGCCCCCTTGCAGAGAATCTGATGGGTCCAGATACCACGGAATACATTCCATGACCCGACAGTAGATGAGCGGAACAGCTTACGTCTTTGATAGTCGTTCCAAGAAAGCACAGTTGTTTTGTTTCCATGTCCTATGCTCCTGTCAGTAAACGTTTAGATTTTACTGCACAAACTGACTCGACTTGATGTGACCCACCACGGTCACAAGAATCTAATGGAGGTGTACCGGTGCTTTCGTTTTTAATTAGTAAATACAATGAGGTCTTCGGAGAGTCATTTAACTTAAAACTGACGGGTCAACATCACCTGTCCATTCATTCCTTTTCAACTGACAGAATATGCACAATTTGAGAATTACTACTCCCGTCAACTACAAGCAGTTGGACACAAACTCTCCACCAAAACTGTCCGTCAAATGAGCCTGGAACGGGGCGTTGCTAGTCGGTCAAACGAACGACGCCTTAAGCGTTCAACCAGGCACCACCGCCGCTTATCCGGTTCTGAACACTCTTTACAATCAATCTCTCAAAGTCTTCCACCTCCGGGGACGAATCTCTTCCTTCGCTGCCAAGTTGACTATGATCCAGCCTCAGAAAGTCACCAGTCCACTCCTAAGAAAGCATTTACACTACGATCTGGTGATTTACTTTGTGTACTTGATTGGACCGACTCCGAATGGTGGCAAGTGAGTTGCAGGCAGCTGGTGTGATACATGTGGGTGAACGTTTCCCACCGGGTTTTGGACTACTATGTTATTAGTAGTAGTTCAAACGTCACTCACCAGGCAGAAAAAGACGAACTGCATTGTAAATGCCGAACGTATCCCTGATCTCGCAGTTTTCTTCCGAGAGCTCCACCGCATTCAAGCTGAGCTCTGCTACAGAACATATAAAGCACTTAAACCTATCGGTTTATATCCAACAATACCAAACGCACCGACTATCGTTAGCCGTTGTTTTTTTTTCAACACAAAAGCAATTCATGAATGATGCAAATTTTGAGGTCAAAGCACTTCAGCCTATAAGGCGACCATGGTCAAAACAAATATCCCTGTATACAGATGACTGCATCATTTAGAGACGAATATTCTAAATGGAAGAGAACACAAAACATGGGTTAAATTGTATCCGGGATATATAGTACTGAGTACAAATAGAAGGCCGGATAATCTGTCACTTTTCGGAAGTGTTCAGCAGCGGTTTGATTCAGTTCAACCATGAGACATTTACCCAACTGCGTTGTTTTCACTCAACACAGCATTTAAATTCCATCAAATGAACAAAAAATTGAAAAATTTTGTATATAGCCTCTAAACATATGGCAGGGTTTTTCTGTCAAAAAATGCTAATGTCTGTCACTTGGTCCCTTTCTCTTCTTTTTTGAACCAGAATTATATCACAGATATATTATATTATATTATATTATATATATCACAGATGATCTCCAAACTGCACTAAACTTCAGACCTCTGAAGAGTTTACTTTTTATATAAGGTTGAACATCTGATCACAGCTTGACTTCCTCTCATCTTGGTTTGGTTGTATCTACAATCACAGATGAGTATGGAGACCTGTGCGAGCAGAATGGTTCATGTGCATTCGTTTAAACGATCCTCCCGTTGTCTCCACACTATGATTTTGATTAGTTCACATCAGCTTCTGGAAGCAATGATCGCCGCATTTTTACGATAGCGTTGTATGTCTTTGCCTTGCACGAAATTCGAATTCCAGACATCTAGCATGCTATGCGAACGCTTAGTGCTGATCCAACAGCGCAAGGTGAATTCAACTGAAACGCCACATCTGGACAAACGAATATATTCACGCTTGAAAGAGGTCATTTACAGTCCACTTTCCGGTGTTTCAGATACTGATAGCCCAGCTGTTATCGGTGGTTAATGATCTGAGAAAAGATATCAAAGTTAAACTTGGCGTGCCAAAATGGCTAGCCTCCAACCGAAAGCCATGAGCACTAGACAAACGGGATAACCGGAATCCTAGGAGGCTCATGACTGTTTACTCTCATTAGGTACACTTCACACTTTTGCTACTGCGAAAGCACATCCTTTTTAAGCCCAGAACACTGCGATGTTTTGGTTGTGTCACTTCACGATGTTTGGATCACCTAAGTAGCCAGAGTTAAGCTAACTATTACGAACGTTTGGGTACTACTTATTTTAATACTCCAAGTAAACTATCATCCCACTGTTTCTGCCCATAGGCACAACGGTTAGATCCCACCTCAAACGAACCTTTTGGACCGGTGGGTCTCGTGCCAAGTCGAGCCAAACTTCAGCGACGCGAACGAACTCGCACAAGACACGTGAATTTCTTAGCAAGAGCTGGAAGGTCAGTCGAACTCCTCAGTATGTGCCACGCAGTTCAGATTCCAACCGACATGGGCGAACAGGCTTGCATACCACAAATGTGCGCCCAGTCCAGAGGGATGGCAGTATCAGTCACGTCGCTGGGTAGTAGAGGAACCGGAAAGCTAGATCAGAAGGGTACGTAGATTTCAGCTTTTAGTCAAGTGGTATCAATCTGTTATATGTATTTTAGATGCATCACATTTTCGTCCTCAAACTTTTGCACTTCAAAGTTCTCGCTTAAACAATGTTCCCTAAGCTGGCTTAATTAGCTGCACCTAGTTGTCATCACCTTTTGTCATGAGGTAACATGTGAAACATACTCAAGCTATAAGGTTATACAAGAATACATGCTAGTATATCATTTACCGGAAACTCCCTATGGGAAACTTATTTCTCACCTGGTTACTTCATCACTAACTTAAATAGTCAGTGTTGATAAGAATTTTCCGTTTGAGTTTCTTGAACCCACTCACACCGTAAAAACATATATGCACACCAACAAGTGTACGTTACATCCTGTAAACCCAAACATTCATTTCATCTGTTTCAACTCGAATGGTATGCGCAACCAGCGGATGGATATTGTGGTAATGGGAACGGTGATAACCTCATCGAACGGTCAAACGTCAGCGAGACCCGCCTCTCATTCTAGTTATTCGCATAGTTTACTGTCTAAAACCAATAAAAAAAATCGTCCAGTATTCGTGACTCTACCTGAGTGCCTGACGTGCTTACCAATCAATCAACGCTACCAGAACTGCTGCTGGCTAGTCGTTTGAACCATTCACACCGCCCAAGCCTGAACATATTCGCATGTCTCTTCGTAATAATTCGGGTAAGTCCGGCGTGGCAGTAACGTTCTCGTAGCTCACATTTTCGAGGTTCAGAACCTAGTACTATTGGTGAGCTTGAAGCAGAACGAAGATATTTCCCCTCTCTAGTATGACCAACCCGAATAATTACGCCAATACTGGTTGAGTACAAAAACAGTTCACAAAGTTCGGTAACGTGTTATTCGGCCATTCCTCAGGAACGGAAGATTGTCCATCACCATCAGGAAACTGCTAATTTGTGCTTATCATTAAGATTTCACTTAAGAAAATGTTCTTTAAACTTTAACTCCTAGCTACTTTTAAGTTTCACGTTTTATTGAAGACAACCTGTTGAAAAGTCCATACGGTACCGTATTTCGTGCATATTTCCTCTTATTCATCTCATTCCATCGTATTATTTCTGCTCAAACAGATGATTTCGTTTTATCCTACATCACCGTGACTCCAGTACAATTGAGTTTCGCACGACCTGTGGTTATCCTGGGTCACATGAAGGATCGATTAGCCGATGAGCTTCTTTCTGAATATCCCGATCGGTTTGGGACGGCTGTTCCTTGTAAGTTTCGGAAAAGTTTGCTCTTCATGTGCGTGGTCCCACTTACTGACTATCTAGCATCGCGCAACCCTTCAACACCTCCTGTCACGAGGTACAAAACATGTTTCGAACCAAATGATGGCTCATTCAAGAAATTATCTGAATACTCATGTTCCGTTTCGTACTGCCCGAACCCTGCTTCACTCTGTTGTACCCTTGGCATGTTCTCGTTACGGAGGAATACCAAAAAGTGAACTCTGCACAGCTAAAACGCTGGTATTTGTTGGAACTATTCCCTGAGGCTTTCTTGTCCGCTCAAAACCTATCTGTCCTTTTTTCTAAGGTGGTCTCAACTTCCAAAACAGTCGCCCCCGCTCGTATTCCAATATTCCGAAACCTTTCTCTGTTGTCCTCGGTCGGATACTTGAGTATCAATAATTTTTTAACTGACTCGGATGAGCAGTCTGCTTTCAACATGTTTCTAAATGTCCCTTGCTAATCCAATATTTTTATCTACCTTTCAAGTCCCATGTAATTGAGAACGCTGAAACGCGTTTTCTGACTTGATGTGACGTAAAGGTTACTTCAGGAAAGAAGAATGGCTAGGCGGATTCCCTCCATACGGCTTAATCGTCTCTAGAACCACACTACTCATAAGGATGCTGAAAACTCTTCGACAGCCCTTAACCGGTTTCACCCTTCTTAGGGCTCATCAGGTAGGCTCAATTCATGAGTTTGCGTCAGTCTTGTGTTCCTTTTGGACAAAACTTGTACGTAATTAGCGTAATACACTCAGTTGCACAACTATTCGGTTTTGACGGGAGATTCAGCTGGGTTCCAGTTGACAAATGTGATTTATATAGGTACTGTTGAATGCACTGAAGTAATATAAAGATTAATGAGTTGTTTTCGAATAAAATATCCTCTATGAGTGCGCAACAACTTCAATACACAGCAACATTAGTAATCGCGCGTCACGCTTCAACGACACTCAATTAACCCACGTTCCAGCCCCAAGTAAATGAGCAGCTTGGGAAACGTGACGGACGATATCCCGACAGGCAAAAATGTTGTTGTTGCTGTCGCATGATGAAATACAGGGTCGAGATTCTGGGCGCATATCAGGTGAGCTCCGATTGGAATTGAGGCTCTGGTACATTGTCATTTACTACTTCATCAGAGTTACTGTCTCTTCTGATAGACTTATGAGGCTTTCCTCTACATATGTATTGTTCGGAGGGAACTTACATACTAGGGAAACTTCTGTGATTCATACTTATTGACGGCACATCATCACCTATGCTAGCAGTCAGGTGAACCACGTCAACACAACTAAAATGAGAGCAGTTGACAGCTCCGGACTTCTACCCCATTACTAAACCTTTAACGTGAGACGGTGTTGACAGCTCCGCATTGCACCGGTTTTATGACGCATCGATGAGTTCGCCTTGATTGGTGATGAAGTATTCGCATCCGAAATGCTAAAACCTATTAACAATAGACGATTTTGAGCTTCGTTCTCTCGACGAACAAACATGGACAGGGACAAATAGTTGCAGCTCAAGAGTGTCGACAGGAGGTCATAAAATTAACCAGTATCCTAATAATTTAAATCACACTCAACTACTTCCTAACCTTGTCATGGCGGTAAGATACATTGCTACGAAAGGCTAGTGTGAATAAAAAGACACCATAAAATTGGAAAGGCGTCTTGTACGGCATGGAAATTTCAACTTCTCTTATTAGTTCAACTACTCGAGGACAGTGAGTAGGCTATTAATAATACACTGCAGATTTCCAAATCTCCACGGTTTCTTCCAGTCCGTTCCCCAAAACGAGAGGAACCCCTGTTTCCATGACACTCTTACTTACAATTTAGACACGGTTAACTTACCTTGACGAGCTTCACTGATTCCCTGTTTGACCACGCAGTGATCCAAATTAACTCGATGTCATCTATACTTTATTGCATCACAAACCGTCATTGTTATGCTATCCGTGCGACATTCATACATGCGCTCCCCAGCAAAAATGAAACAGATGCTACAATTAAGGTCAAAAGTATAAACATACTGATTGCTGTTATTACTGAAAACACGAAACACGAGTTTTCTGCGGAAAAATCGATCGGGGTACTG